TACATACTGTCCTAACGCCTTACCCTACATTGTTTTAACGGTCAGTCGCTACGTAGAACCTGGTAGGTATACACATCGGTCCAAGTTGCCATACCTAATTAGTACAGAGATATGAGATTGTCAGGACAAATACCAGAGCAGTAGAGGTAGTAACAGTATCAGTGTTAATGGTAAAGTTTAGTCATCAAGGATGCGGTTCGGCAAGAAAGCATACTGGTGCAATGAAAAAATTCTGAAGGACTCAGACAAAGAATAGATGCACCTGTGCCATTCCAAACAATTTTGAGCCGTGTCATTTAAAGTTTAACCACTGGTCACGGAAATCACGCGGACCCCAACCAGTTAGTCTATACTTGTTGACACGGCTCGATCTAATTGTCGATGACTTCATTGTTTAGTGACAGGCTTTATTGTGGTCGCCCTTAGTTTTCTTCCAACCTACTCCTACAAAGAACATCGTTGTAGGCGGTGGTTGGGCATGAGTAACACATATCCTAATCACCTCGGGTAATAAAGATTTACTGCCTCACCAACCAATTTTTCGTCCTTACCTAGTACTATGCATCTGACCTTGATAGTCCTAAAATATACGAGCAGTGATTTTAAGATACCTATGATCAGACATTAGTAATCTACGAATGTCCTCAAGTTTCAAAGGAAAACTTTAGAGCTACAACAGAATAAACTGCTGAGCAACATGCTGATCACTTAGTTGGCAAACTAATATCTGGCCTACGCCACGAGTGATGCGAGTCGGCGTAAGCCAACTGGGATTTCTGAATGCATGTTGAGGTTTCTTAAGACACCAGCCCATCAAGACTAATGAGAATCTTAAGTGAATCGGTTAATGTACTCAACTGGTTCACTCCCTATCATTTATTCAGGCGCTACTGCAGGCTAGTCCTAAGGTAACATATTTTGAAGACGGATGAAAGTTAGGGACGGCCAAACCAGAACGTGGCATCAGCCCGTAAAGTTACTAACTTCTGGCATGAGTCATGTTGGTGGATAGAGACTACTTGGTTGGAGGCTGGTTGATATGGTTCGGAATCAATCACAATTACGTAGATCTATACACTCTTTGTTTTCCCTTACACTGTAAGATTAAAATCACTTTATATCATTCTGCGAACTAATTCTTTCTCCATGTATCATATACTCATTTGAAATCTTTTTTACCACCAGTGAAGTAACTGCTTCTATGAAATTGGTGTTCATTTTGTTGTGCTATTGAGGTATGGCATCTTGGATCGATGCAAATATGTGCCTGGTCCTACGTTGTAGCTGACTGACTGAAGTAATATTTTACATTTGGAGAGAGAGAATCGCATTTTAAACTTGCTAGTTTTAAACCAAAACGACGAAATTGTTTAAAGTGCCAACTTACAACTCAAGCCGTGGACAAGTAAAAGCTATAACAACTTCAGCGTTGAAGCAATGTTTAAAAGACTCATTGTAAGGTTACATAGACTCAACCACCTCTAGGTGTAAGTCCATACTATTTTATATATTGCAAGACGCAAAATCATAACAAGGAAACCACTGATTTCTGATAAGTGGCAATATAAAGACTACCTAAGTAACATGTAGATCACCAACGTAGATGATCTATGTCGAAATGATTGGAGTCCTACTCGAGTTAGACGTGAGTGGTGTGACGAACCAACTAACGTCGAAGTCACACCTCGTGGTCAGCACCTTACGTGGACTACCCCCATTGACGTAACAAGGTACTATAGATGCTTTGAAGACTGTACAACACAAAGGACGTTATTACAGAAATATATTAGTTAAGGTAGATACAGGCGAAAGTAAGACCACAGCCGCATGGGCCAGTCCATGGCGTATGATTAACTAATGCGCGTTGCTTGTACATGACCTTGGCAGGGAGCGATGATCTGTTCGACATTCAGTGATCCAACTGCCGGATGATTTGGCTAGGACTCAGTGACATTTCACTGGCCCTACAATACTCCCCCACCAGATTCAGCGGCCGTTTGAATCGGTACCAAACATGTTGGGAGCAGTCGCGCGCCAGAGAGTGACAAACGAATATTATAAATCCTCCAGGTATTGCTTATCTGTAAAACAAATGGAAAGGAGGCGGCAGAAACTGGTCGGGAAACAGCGAGTCATAATATGTTAGTAGGACGTTGGTTAAACGTAAAGCGATTAACCATAGAAATAATGAAAAGAACAAAACGTTTTATTGTTCTATCAAGTCGCGCTGAAATATATAGCCTTGACAAGTAATTCAGTTCCTCCGATGACAAACATTAAGTCTGCCGCAAGAGTAATGATGCTATAGCGATAGTAGGATAAGTGTATTATCAATCGATATCCATATTTGTACTGTCATTAGTTTAAAGTTGTAAGTCGGACAGTGTCGTTGACAGCTATTAATTAGTGTCAAATTCTAGTTATATCTATATCTAACAGACTAACCGTAAGTACAGAAGTATAACAGTGAAGAGTGGTCGTGATTTCGTTGTGCGAAGCTATTGACCAACTTGTAGTCACAGTTTGAAAAGTCGATGACTGCTGTTACAGTCAGTAAGGGTTGAAGGCTACAAATCGACAGCAAAAGGTGGCACGATGAAGTCTCTAAAAGATGATAAACGGTGAATGCTGCGTGTTTGTTCGGTTAGTGAACAGAAAAATATCGAAAAGAACATAAGAAACCAAGAGTGTCACTCTGGACTCATGTCAATGATACCCGTGAAAAACGCTGTCAGTGTTGGAGTAGAGGCGACAATATCGTTTTCAGTTTGCAGGAGATTCGCTCGACTGCATAAACTGATGATTCGCGCGAATGATATTGTCGTCAGACCACCAATTGAACTGGACAGGTTGTAAATCGTCGAGTAGTTGAACAGCCGATTGATGTACCGGAATCATCTGTTAAACAACAGCCACGAGGAAACAATACTTTATAAAATGAAGTACGACATCGAAGTAGAACAACCACAGTAGTTCAGATGTATTACAAAGTCAAGTCTAAATAACATCGTTCTTACGTATACTGACAGTTGCACTGAACGTTCGCTTAGGTATGATTAGCGTAACAGTTGGATGTGTGAATAAAAACATATACGAAAACTATGGTTGGGTTCGTGGAGAATTTTCGAGGACGTTTAGATATTTTCCAAACCCGTATCGCATGTAAATAAACCGAAAATAGAATTAAAATGACTGTTGTGTAATAAGGAAATCGAGCCGTGATTTACCGTGTGAATTAATAGCAAATACAAGGGGTATAATAAACATTAATTAAAATGGTAACCACCAATGTAACTAAGGTTTAGAGGGTCCAGATATCGTGGCCATTTCGTAAAAGGCTGATACAAAGAGCTTATTATCTAGCGTTAAGTGACATATTAAGTACGACAACGTGTGTACTTGGGATATGGACTAAGCGTGCTCGTGTACATGCAATATGTTTTACCACAGTATGTCGACTAACGAGTCATAAATATACATGATTTCGACTAAAACTTGACGGCAGTGACAGAATATATGACTGGTTTACGTGAAAGCAGCTACGAAATGTTATCACGCATCATAAATATAGTACGAAATAATCTTATGAAACTCGCCTGGGTTACTCTTGCCTTTAAGTAATGAAGTAGGCAGCAGTTTGAATCTGGATTATGTACGAGGTACTGTTGATTAAATTTTTCGATTAACACAGCGTTGTAGACTGACGAAAAGTCTAAACGAGATCTAAGATCGCAGGAAATTTATAGTTCAAACTCACCGTGAATTTCTAGCATTCGTATCCTCTGTTTGGCCATGGAACTCAGCAATTGGAAATTAGGCAGGCAGTGGTAAAAAAAAACACAACATTCTAGTGGATAGTGGTTAAGCAGAAAGATGAATTTATAGTCGATAGTTAATCTTGTCTTATTTATACCAGTGGATAAGGTACAAAGAGATATGCGTTCGTGTTGCCTTGTGGCTATACTCACGAGTGGTTGATATTTTAACAGACATATTACACAGGAGCATTTACATGCTGCTAATGCTTGTTAAAGAACCACGATAACCGATTATAATCGTATTTGATTGGTTAGTTCTGTCGATTGAACGAATTATTTAGGTTTAAATGCTAATCAACATTGACATGAAGCAACGAAAGTTCACAGTAACAGATTAACATAGGCGATGATAAAAATGAAAAAGAATAAGTATAGAATACAATAATAAAGATTATAGTGATAGGTTGCGTTATTCGAAGTCTTGCTCACCAGTGTAGATCACCAACGTAGATGATCTATGTCGAAATGATTGGAGTCCTACTCGAGTTAGACGTGAGTGGTGTGACGAACCAACTAACGTCGAAGTCACACCTCGTGGTCAGCACCTTACGTGGACTACCCCCATTGACGTAACAAGGTACTATAGATGCTTTGAAGACTGTACAACACAAAGGACGTTATTACAGAAATATATTAGTTAAGGTAGATACAGGCGAAAGTAAGACCACAGCCGCATGGGCCAGTCCATGGCGTATGATTAACTAATGCGCGTTGCTTGTACATGACCTTGGCAGGGAGCGATGATCTGTTCGACATTCAGTGATCCAACTGCCGGATGATTTGGCTAGGACTCAGTGACATTTCACTGGCCCTACAAACATTTTGGCTTACTAAAGGAGCGTGAGGTAGGTTTTCACCCTGAGCTAACCTGGTGTTTGGAGTATGTCGTGAAACCAACAGTCATTTCTGCCGTGATTATATTCAAAGTTGCAAACAGTGTATCACTCATAGTTTAGCAATTTCTGATATTCAAGTTCTACCTCTCAAGCTAGAATACATTATAAGCTCTTCCATAACTTTTAGTTTACGGTTAAAGTTTTATAGGATGTCATTTCTCTTGGGTAACACACTATTTTTATTGTTTTCTTGACTTTTCAGGAATATAGGATTGATTTATGATCCTAGCAGTTAGTTATTTTAAAGGATAAAATAATGCTTTATTGAGTTCCCTTATCTTACCAGATGAGCCATTGTCCTGTAGAATATTCAAATCCTAATTCCCAGAATACCATATCTTATATTACCTCAGATTCTGTTATTAGTGTCTCGTTCGCAGATTGTCAGTCGTCTAGTCCTTCATACCACTCTCTGTCATCAAGTACGACTCTTCCTGGTGTTGGCTCTTTCTTGGATAAATCAAATCACCTTTCACACTATTCTCCTAATAAATATTATGATACAGAACCTACTGTAATTCCGGGACACTCTTACGTTGAGAACACTGGCGTTTTCGATAACAATCTTCCTTATCCAATAAAATCGGAGGCCATTCACGAAATAGTATCTGGAACGTTTATTACTCCAGATGCACACAACCAATCATGTTTTACATCTCCTTTACAACCTCTAAAATCATTAAACCCAAGTCTTCCTGTCCAATCTAGTGAATCTTTGTTAACTGGTTTCACTCATCCACTTTCTATGAACCATACTGTTTTAGAAGACGGTGGGTTAGATTTGGATCGAGTGTTTGTCGCTATTATTAATGATCGAAATTCTGAACATGATATCTTTAATGATACTGATGTTAATTGTGACAGTGAACGCTGTTCAATTGATAAATCAAATTCCTGTAACAAACAGTTACTTAATAATAGTATTCAGTCGTCTGTTAACCAAAGTATGCTAACAGATGATTCAGAGGACAAAAGTTTATTACAGTACTATCCTGTAGTAGATACTGAGAAGACAACTCAACATCAAACCCATCCAAGTAAGTTTTTTTTGTATGATTGACTCATTATAGGAAGAAAATCTATTTTTCTTGTGCACTCATCTTAAAGCTTTTATCTCCCAAATATTTCCATATATGATCTTAGATTTTGTATAATCAGGGCTGTCCTATACAAAGGCGATTCAAGTATGAATATTTAGTAGATTTTACGTTCATAAATAAATGACAACGCAATTACGTGCTCCTAGATTGGTGGCTCAATACTTAAATGTTTATATTTACCAAGTCTCATTGTAACATGTTGTTGGAGGTAATCACACATATGACTTCAAATGATGTGAAAATGTATGGATTTAAATAATTGATCAGCCGATGTAGCGCTATATTTTGGAGTATAGGATATTCTTCATTACTCTGTTTCCAAGTATACATGACTGAGTTTCTCGAATCAATACACCAAATTTATCGTTTTCCAAGCACAATCATCTGTTTTCATTCGCGTGATGAGAACTTGTTAATCAGTTGGAAATATACAGAATGTAAGAATTTCCTGTTGTATATATCGTGTTAACTATTGAACGGCTTTTAATTGTATCTAAAATCCAAATACTAGTTTTAGTTTAGTTTATGTAACTCGGTAACCAAGTAGTGTTTCATTCACTTTAAGACACTCAATGTATACAAGCCTGTGGTACTAGCCGACTGCTCAAACTCATTTAGTCGAGTTCAAAGCCAAAACCCGGTGGTTAAAAGCTTTAACTACTGGATTACTACTCACCTGTCAGCCTGTTGATATTCGAGATTTTTCGGTTTCTCTGAAATATGGCGGATAGCTTTCCAAAATGCCTCATAATGTAAGGCTTGCTTTATTTGGCTGGCACTACCATAGGTTTGTTGTTAAGATGCTACTAAGGATGTCTCCTGGCAGGAGGACTATGATGAATGTCTTGGTAACTTGCAGTTTTTGGAATTGAAACGTGATTTCGATCACCAATGTAGAAAATTTAGTGTAAGCCTGCTACGTCAACCAAGCAGAATGCTAATTTCACTTGTATATTGAATTCTTATCAGACATAAGAACTTGTGGTTCTGGACAACGGAGAGTGGGCTAATAGATTTTAGTAAAGGTTTGTCGTATGCAATGCAGTACACTGTAAGATATGTTAAGACATTAAAAAAATTCTACTACATGACGTATTTGATGGCTAGACGTTTTCGAATGATACCAGGTTTGCATTACTGGACCAACCTTATGGGATAAGTTTTTTCGGAAAAATACTACGATCATCTTAAGTATCTTATCAATGTTTTTGAAGAGAAGGAAGTGCAACAACTAGGGTTAAAATAGTCTCACAAAACTCTTGCAACTATAAATCTACTTCACTCCTACCCGAAGATTTTGCTGATGTTTCGATGAACGAAGCGCCACTAAGATCCACATCAAATTTGCTTGATTGAAGTCTGAAGTGAACCCATATATCTATTTATGATGGAGGTTAACTTTAGAACAGCGGTATTGATTATCTAAATGGTTCTTAGTACACTTGACTACTCCTATTGAAGGCATCATCGCAAACGTTTGGTATCTCGTATTTAATTATCTGAGTTAATCAAAGATCTTCACGGGAAAGTAATACTTGAGTTCTTGGTAGCTGGTTATTTTGTTCTTTTATTTACCGGTATCTTATCAGTTCAAGCATTCGAGTTTTGGCAGGTAGTTGGTATCACTAATTTTCACACATGCTTTGCTTATAATCCACTACTCGATTATTTACGAGGTTGACTAGTTAGTTCCTGTTTACATTTCCTTACAGAAACATCCCCCATTTCAGAAGTTGACCAAACACGCAAGTCCTCTGGATCATCTGAAGTTTCAACCCGAATGTGCGTAGTTTGTGGTGACAAAGCTTCAGGGTTCCATTATGGTGTGTCTACATGCGAGGGTTGTAAGGTATGCTAACTACTATGTTTATTTTTCAATACATTGAATACTCGAGTTTCATTTGATCTTAAAAGCGTCCAGTGCGTCCGAAGATAGTCAAATTCAGATTTTCATAACTTCTCGAAAAAATGTATTTTTATGTGTATTAAAAAAACAGACATCTCAAAGTGATAAACGTTAAGGCTAAATCACACTCATATCTCCTGCAACAAGCAGTAATTAGTTTCAATTACAATTTACTTTCAAAAAATAAAACCACCCATAATGGTAGGCACTTAGCATAAGCAAATAGGTAAATAATTAGTTTAATATGGTTGGACGAATTCTAATCACATCAGACAATAAAAGATTCGTGCACCGAATGGTTACTCATAAATAACGTAAAATACATCTAGTACTCTATATCGTGTTTCAGATGATGATGATATAAATAGATATGAATACAAGGCTCTATAGCTGACATGCAAATTTATTTATTATTTATTTATTTGGACACATGAATATTGGTACAAGAGAGCGCCAATATATATGCGCCACACTGTAATGATAATTATTTGAATCGACTGATTGTTTTTCGGAGCGAGAAAAGTGGTTGCCGTAGACATAGAGTTCATCGTTTGTGTGTGGGCTGGGATACTGCCCGGGTGCCCAAACCGAAGCAGGTGGTTATCTTAGGGGGCCACTGCCCGAGCCTTTGACCTAAAGGTCTAACCCACAAGGCAGTGGAGATCGTAAGAAGATGCAATCCCATGGTAACCGGTGACCAAAGACTGGTTCATACGCCATTTGTTCCCGCAGGATACTGGAGCCCATGTGCACCATTGGTTTGTGATCCGGTTAAAGCGCCGGACATTCGCTTTTCGTCCTCTTATTTTCGTAAACAACTCCCCCGCCACGAGAAGGCAATGAGTAGGACTTTCCTGGCAGAGGCTGTATACGCGTGGCCGTGTGAGAGTATTTCGAGAGGGAGAGCGGACTCACCCCACTCTCGGCCGTACCAGGGCATTCGGGGGCTATATTTTTGCCAGTACAGTGTACTTGAAAAAGTTAAGTCGTCAATAATATTCCATATATCTGCGAACTCGTCTCAAAGGGACTGTTTCATGTGTTCTGCACTTTTCTTCTGAGTACAGATATTCAGATATATCACAAGCTAATCTTACGGCTTGTCTTAAAGTTCTCCTTCACCACGTAAATGTGCTTTAATAAAAACTGACTTATTCTGCTGTTAGTCCAATGTTGTATTAATAAACTAATAATCAGATGGTTGATTTCCTCTCACTAGCGTTTTTTTACCAAGGTTCTTATTTGCGGGATGGGGCTGTTGTTAACCCCATACCAAACCCTTCCCTTTTACCCAGGATTAAGTTCGGCATTAATCCTAAAAGGGCTCCAGGCAGAGTTACTCATATAACGGTGTTCAATTCGTTCTCAGTTGTACGTAAATTACAGCTTCTATTACATAATTTAAAATTACTGGGTGATAATAGGGCTATAGTCAACGACGTCACTTAAGGATTTACTACTGATGAAGTATGGCAAATCGGTTGATAGAATCGTGGATCTTCATCACATAAGGTGATTTGGATATGTACTACTTGTGTCCACTCGTTGTCTACCCCGACACACAATAATGCTTGTTGTAAACTGTTTGGATGGTTTAAAAATGAAATCTTTCCTAACATATTTTTTGTGTTTTAACCCACTTTCCAATCAACAGCTTTTTAATCTAAAGTTATGTGAATAAATTTGTGATTTTCTTATTAAATATGGTACTTCTATAACCTACTTACAAAACACTATTAAAAAATTTACTCAGGGTTTCTTTCGACGTGCTATACAGCGTGACCAATCATATACTTGTGCTAAAAATGGTACATGTGAGATAAATAAAACGCTTCGTAATAAATGTCAACAATGTCGACTCCTCAAGTGCATTGCTGTGGGAATGTCGAGAGATGGTAGGTTGTTTATTTATCGTTATTTTCAAAGAGGGGTTTTGTGGATATTTTAGTAATTTAATAGTTGACCTCACGAGTCAATTAAAGCTAGACCACCATGGAAAACCTGGATGTGCTATGCGGCCGTTTCGTTCTAGTATGGGACTCAGCAGTACGCATCCACGATCCCCGCCCCACGTGATTCGAACCCACATACTATCAACCGTCCAGTGCTTCCAGTTTTTCCATGGTGGTCTAGCTTCAATTGACTCATGATCTCAACTATTAAATTATCGTTATTTGTTCATCTACGTTATATTATGTCTTCTTTTATCGTGTTCCCGTTCAATGTTTTCTTGCATTTGTTTCGTCCGATTCTACAAATCTGAACTACACTTAATAAAATTAACTCATCATCTTTCGGAATAGTTTAATTTGATGTCAAGTCTTTCGCAGGATGACTTGGGATGGTCATTCTAGAAAAAGGTTACCAATTCCTGAAAGTGACCTACAAACACTTATCAATTAGACATACTAACAAATCCGAAAATATTCATATTTCATTTTGAGATTCAAACTTGTGTTATACCATGCATTTTGTTATTGATTTATTTGTGGAGAGACTAATATCTTGCGAACTCTTATTGTTTTTATAGTCTGATAACCAATTCACCCACTTTCTTAAATACTGTTTAGTTGAATAAGTTGAGTAACTATAGGAAAAATTTCAAATTGATTAGTTTTATTAGTTTGACTCCATTTATTTGTTTTTAACATTTTGGTTAGTCTAAATTCACTAATAAAATGTTTTGGCGAAGGCATATTTTACGGCATGTAAGAAAATCATCTATCATATACAACTAAGGTATAAGTTATTAAGTTTTGGAATTCGGTTATAAGATACTGTGCTCGATTTGTACCTTAGTACGCTTAAATTTGGTTCTAAATGAGGTCGAATTTTCGAAGATTCTCATTTTTCAATGGATTGATACCAATATGTTAAAATGGATCGAGAATCTTCAATTGAATAACCTATAAGTTAAAACACTAATATTATTAGTTAAGTTTAATCTGAGTGGGTAAGCATTGCAATACGTTCATCTGAGAATATTTTATTGTTAAGTCCTATAAGATTTACGATTGCAATTTATCCAAGAACTTTCAAGCTTCTGACTGACTTCTTTTATCTTATTCTATTTGTATTCCAGTCTTCATTTACACCAGTCAGACCAAAAGTGATATCACTTTATGAGGTTATAGACTGTTTATATAAGTTATGTTTGGAGGTCCATACTTCTCGTACGGACTCCGCAAAATAGAGTCACACTATGTAACTATAGATGTTTAGGTGGAAATTTAAAACCGGTTGCAATTAAATGGCCATTTTCATATTTTTACCTCCCTCTAATTTTTTAGGACTAATCTTAACCACTTCCAGATTTCATTGACTCTTTTTAACCTTTATTTTTCATTATTGTCAGTACTATTATTTCAACTCCTTTGATTATTCTCTTTGTTGCAGACTTTACGAGTAACAGAATTTTGATTGGTTAACTGTGTATTTCCTAAATTATTTGCTTTTCTTTCTAAAGAATGAATTCTGTGTTGTTCAATATATTAATCTTATCATTTATGTATGATGGGCAAACACGTGCTTATATGCAAATTTCATTTGAATTTGATTACCGTATTCATTAATCTACCTTTCTATCCACTTCCAGATTTTCTGAATTAATTTTCCTAATCCCCAATATTGTGTAATATCATTAATATATATATTTCTGGTTAGCATTTTTTAGCAAGGTTTTTTCGACGGGATGGGATTGTCAACCTCAAATTGATACCATTTCAAACTTTAAAATGGAATGAAATAATGTGAAATAAATATTTATAGGAGTGTTGTAAATAGTATTCTTGTATTTAAAGGCAGATATGATTGTATGCTTTGAACTAATAGTGATTAGTGTAAATAATATTTTTTATGAGAATGAAAAATTCTCAATTATCGTGAAATTTATCCATGTGTATTCATCAAATGAGGTTTAATTCGTTGCCTTATTTATTACTGAACAGAAAACTATTAAAATTTATGACTCATTATCTTTTGGATTATTATAAAGAGCTTAATTTTTATCATTCAGTATTTCTATTAAAGAACAAACTATTTTAGCATAATCTTAGTAATTGTGATTGAATAGTTCACAGTACTTCATCTGTTTATCTAATTTGAGCTTCTTCAAGAAATTATCAAAGTAATAAAAATATATTTAATTTTAATTGGTGAGAATTTTTAAAATTGTAATTGTCTAAACGACGCTTTGTGTTTGCGCGTTACTTAGTTTGTTCGTTGAAGTTTAGAGAAAAATTCTTTGTATTAAATTTACATTTTACTGTACTTAACATCCCAGATGTGTTCTATAAGAAAAGTAATAGAATCCGGTTGCACGGATTCTTTTTAATATGTGATGACATACTGTCTACCTGAATCGCACTTAATTAGTTCGTGGTTGAATTATAAAGCACTTTAAGACTGATAGAAACCGGTACATACACACGCCGATGACTAGTATTTGGAAATAGTCAAGAAGTTTGTGTATTTTGTTAGTTATGTTATTCCTTATGACGAAGGCCACAGGTGACTATAAATTTTTTTACATGATATGACGTTAGTTTGGCCACGAAGTATTTTGTGCATAACATGGTAGTGCTCTATACTTTTGAAACACAATCTTTTTGAGTTAAAGATATCCAAAAATGCTGTCAAATACAGATTTTCCACGTTTAATGGCAATACTATACGTGTGAGACCAAGGTTAATCAACTTGTTTTAAGCATATTTCATGTAATGTTAGAATACCTGCTTCAGCATCTTGGATATGTACTGTGTGCGCTAATCTAGCAGCTTTCATAATGAGCATTGATTAGTGACACTAAAACTAATCGGTAAAAGTGAACAAGTAGGAAGTTTATAATATACCACCTTGATAATAATTGGTGTGATTTTAGCCTTTACTCTTCGTTAAGCTGTGAAATTGTTCTACCTACATCAGGTGCTTAATACACCAGGTTAAAAACTAGAGACTTTGTATTCATTAAAACTGTTCAGAGTCCCAGGATGACTAAGCTGTGAGATGCCTTATATTCATGAAATCGTTAACATTATTGTAGTTCTGTCAGAAATAAACACTGTCGTAGTCATAGAACAATCAACATGAAATGCAATCGATATATTAGGTACCTTCAAGCTATTTAGTAAACTTTATCTATACAAAGTATAAATAAGTCATTTCTTAAGTTTAGTTAACCGTTTCCGTCAGTTTTCAATCTTTGTTCTAGTTTATTTCTTATTATTTTTAGCATTTAGAAACAAATATTTTCTATTGATCAATAGTATTCCTATTATTTTTACCTACAGCTGTTCGTAAAAGGCGTCATGGTAAAAAACGGGAACAGTCTTCTTGTGAATCAGTTACCTTGCCTAGTTCAGATTCCTCAAACAAATATGAAACATCAGCATATTCGTCAGGTTCTGCAGACGTAGTTTTAACTCCATCTGAAGCACATTTAAATGAAACTACACTTAAGCCCCACGAAATGCCAATAACACCAACTAATTTTCAACCATCATCTTCATCAATACCATCTTCTACTAATATTTCTTTAACCTTATGTAATAATAATACTAATAGCGATAATAGTAACAGTTTGACTAAGGAAGATCAACAAACTCTAGACAAATTTGATCGTTTTTTAAATTATTGTAAAGATCAAGCTATCAAATATCAGGCGAATAGTTGGAATATTTCTAAATCTGATTATTATCACTTATCAGGATCTTTATCAAGACATCTATCTCCCATCAAGGTATGTTTAATGGGTGATTTAAAAAAAATCTTATTTTGAAAACTTTTGTAATCAGTCAGTCAGTCAGTAACAACGTAGAACTTCGTATGTACGTACATCAGTTTGAGTTGCCATACCACATTAGCACACATACAATTGTCGATTCAAATCCCGTAGTGGTAGAGGTAGTAAGAGTATAAGCAGAAGAGAAGAAAGAGACAAGGAGAAATCAGGAGATTAAAATTAGGGAGAACGCAAAGAGGGTATGCATGGTGGTCTAGCTTCAAGTGACTCATGATCTCAAGCATTGAAATTACTATAATATTTCTATTAGTTTACAAATTACTAATTTGAATAGATTTGTCTCGTTACTACTCTGCACATTCATATCTCATTTCTATCATTTGGTTATTTGTTCCTATAAGAAAAATAGCCCTATTCGTAGTTTTAGATTTCATCACATAGTTTGAACACATAGATCGCAAGTGATAAATTTATATGTAAATTAATTTAGACCTTTGTAGTGTTAGTTATCTTTACTGCGAATACTCGACCAATATCTGTCCTACCACCAGTTTCTATAACTATATGGGTATAAAATGTCTGAAGCATTCAACATCAGACTATGAACAAAAATATACACACCATAGAATAAATATTCAAATTTGTATTTTTCACAGTTGTACTAAATATCACAAAGGTGAAGATAAATTAACAAGACAAAAGGTAAAAAAAACAGTCGGACTAATCAAGTCAACGTTATCTAAAATTGAAACAAGGATAAATTTTTAAGAAAACAACTATAAAACGAATAAGATAACACGGAGCCCATATATAGAGGAAGATAATAAATGAATACATCTAAGTCACTACGACCAATTTTAAGCCATATTTTCTAAAATTCCCAAACAATAGAATATGATTATCTCATAAATCCCAATCATGAACAATAGTAGCGGTAATATAAAGAAATTTCAAAGTTTTTACTATCGTAAAATAAATAGTTAAGAACTATGAAAAACGGATGTTGTTACATGATTTATTTATTTTCACAGATTGAACTCATGAGTCAGTTGAAGCTAGACCACTATTGAAAACCTGGAAGCACTGGACGGCCGTTTCCTCCTAGTATGGGACTCCTCAGCAGTGCGCATCCACGACCCCGCACCACCCGGGGTGCGGGGTCATTATTAATCTGCTTGAACTTTCTTTCTGTTTAATTTCTGTTTGTGCATCTCATTTACAAGGAATTTAACAATTTTTCTAATTGAATTTGTATATTCATTAATCGTATCAATACAATGAGATGAATTCATAATAATATTAATGAGATAGTATCTTTCCTTGCTACAACATCTGCGCTATATGTGATTGGACATAATTCATAGTTCCAACATTTCACATTCCTATGTAGTATGTATCATTTATATTTATGATTATTGGGTGAACAGTTTATTTTTGTTTCTATATAGAATAATTTTATTATTATTAATTATTTTAATACCCTTATTTTTTTTAAAGCATACTCCCTATGAATTGGGTGAATCATTAAAGCTTCTTACAGTAGATGAAATATTTTGTCCTGCTCAACTTAAATTTACACATGAATTTGCCTGTCATTTAGAGCAGTTCATACGACTTTCTCAGCATGATCAATCTATCCTATTAAGAGATTGTTTGCCTGAACTTGCTGTAAGCATATTTTTATTTGTGTTATTTCAATGGATAAATCTTTTCTATCTATAATTTCAGTTATTTTATTATTTACTCAATTAAAATAGTTTGAATACAGTTAGTAAATTTACATTTCTTGACTGATCATAATAAATAATTTTTGTTGCATAAACTAACATGAATATGCTTGAGAAGTACTTGCATTGTTTATAATAGTAAGTATTTATTCCTTTGAGGTATTAGTATCCCAGTAAGGTTGGTTAAAAATCGGTAAAATAAACTTAATCTTGGGGTAAGTAAGGTAATTAATTTCGTCCATAGCTTCAATTTTCTTCATTTGTGAAATAAACAATTTAAATCTAGTGCTTGGAATTTCTTTCTAATTGTTTGAGATGATCTAAAATTTATAAGAGCGTTTTAAAGTCTAAATTTTTCAAAATCCGATATAATTTTCTCAGTAGAATTTTCAGTTAACATAACGTATGCTGCCTGACTAATCAGAATAGAGAGAGCATCTTCTAAGATCATACTGGTCAGAAATTAGAATTAACCTTTCCATCATGAACTGATATCTGCTTTGATACAAGCTTTGTAATATTCATGCCTTAGTTCTTAGTCTATGCATAATTCATTTATCTGTGTTGTCTCCTGATAGGTTAAAATTGTTAGGATCTCCAATTCATTAGATAGTTTACCAATATTCATGTTTATTTTACATTTATCTTGATTTTGGTATCCTTCACTTGTTAGATATTAATGTTATGTCGCGAAAATCGGAACAAGACTCATATGAACTTTTCATCTACATCAATAAATTATCAATTGAATTGTTTATTTAGTCCATGGTTTCCGAATGCAGTAGTTACAGATTCCTCTCTGGATTGTCTACATATGACTTGTGATAGTATAACTTCTCAAAGTATTTTTCAATTTGCTTCAAGACTTCAACGATTACATTTGACAAATATGGAATTTGGACCACTTGTAGGTGTGATACTTTTTACTCCAGGTAATCAGCTGCTAAATTATGTATACACAATAATTTTTCATATCAGACACATTTGTTTACGAATAGTTGAAAATTATGAGATTTCCATTGCCTCACAATACCTAGCTCATATATATTAATACTTTATAGATTAAAAAATGTGTGAGGTTTCGTTGTTCACTTGGCTGGCGAATGTAAAAGTGGATAAAAATGCAAGTAATTTTTTACTGTACAATTGAAATGTTGAGCGTGATTATAAAATAAGAGACTAGCTCGACACATGTCACCCAAATAGTGAGTTCCCACACAAAGCTACATACTTGTCGTTGATAAATTAGTTACATTGAAACCGAATGACTGCATTTGGTGTCCTTATTCTTGTTCTCAACTAATATTGTTACAAATGTAGTTATAGAAAACCCTTATGTAAATTTTATGCCAGCTATAGAGTTAACAGTATAATAATTTTATAATTCAAAGACAAGATTTGTGTAAAATCATTATACTACTATGGAATATAAATAAATACTGATGATTTATGGACATCAAGTTTTGATGCGTTCGGACCTGTGTTGCAACAACGAAGTGTGTTCTTCAAACAAGTAAATAAAGAAAAATTAAGACTCAAGCTCTACATCAGAAAATACTACATGGATATATATATATATATATATATATATATATATATATATATATATATATAGCTTCATTATTAACAACTAGTAGAAGTATATAAAAGTCTATTTTTCGAAAGCAAAGGGGGCGTTTAAACAAGATGAGAAATAGCTTAAACATTTAATTGCGAGTAGAAATATTTAGCAACCCATAAACGAATTACAAACCCGTGTACCTAGTTTTTAGCCATACCCAAAGTGTATGGGCTATTGATACTACGTGGTTGCCCAAGCTAAACTAAATAGAGCAGAGTTTAAATCTACCACTTCGTAACTTAAAGTTAAACGCCTTGACCGCTACGTTAGCCATCGCCCACAATGACTATCTAAATATTATCTAAGAGGATACATTAAACATGATATATTTGCAATTGGAAATAGTTTACTTAATTGAATTAGTATATTTGCTTAATGTTTGATAAGTTCTTTTATTCCTAATTTCTTTTTTTATCTCTTTTTCTACGCATATATATATTTATTTATTTAGAACGTTCTGATCTATTAGATATTGACTTTGTTAATCGTACACAAAATTTATGGGCTGAATTATTACGTCGTTATTGTGAAAGTAATGGATCACAAACACGTTGTGCTCATTTAATTATGATTTTATCTACACTACGTGAACTTGCCTCTAAAATAACGCATAATTTAAATGCATGGTATAAATTATCCAATACTCCAATGTCAAATTGTCTTAAAGAATTTCTTTATTCTTCCAGTTTTAATTCAATGGATGATTGTTTTTAATTATTGTGTAATTTTCTTATGATTTTTCTTGGTGAATAATAGTGAGAGATATCTCTTGCCGTTTTTTTTAAAGAAAAAACAATTAGGATTACATACTACATATCTTCTTGTATTTGTGTTTAATTTTGCTCTGTTATTATTTTATGAATATATTTGTAATTATCTAGATGATCAAATGTACGCACACAGGTTACCTGTTTACTAAATGAGCATGAATTTTATAAATTTTTTTATAAAAACAAACAAAACTTTACCTTAATGTTCATACGCACAATGATAATCTCAACTCTTTGATAACTTATAGGCTATCAATACTGTTTTAGTGGTTAATTCGATTAAATTAGGGAATGATAATAGAGAAAGGTTTAGAAGTGATTATGTGTAAGACCAAATTATTTCTACTTGGTTGTCTTTTTACTGCTTATCATGACGATTTTTTCATTTTTTTCTGTGTCATAATTTTTTTTTTACCAATTTTGTTGATGCAATTTACAAGGATCTCTTATTTTCGAAAGAAAATATTCACGCACAATTATTATTATTATTATTATTATTATTACTATCTATATGAATAATAATATTATTAATAATCCAGTGATTTCGGCTTACCATGACTATTAATACGATTTAAAACTACTATGCGCCTCATTATTTTGTTTACAATTATATTCTGACGTAAAAAATTGATAAACATCAACTCATTTTCATCTTTTCCTCCACCCTTCTGTCTCTTTGTAATGTACATTGTGTTTACAAAATGGTATTCCTGTAAACAACTACTCTCACGCATATCTCCTGTTTTTATATATTGTAAAACTGTGTACTTTTGTGTGTTTCTTGTCTTTGATTTTTTTATCTCTACTAGTAGTGATATAATTCTTGTATTCCGTCTTCCGATTTATTACATGATAAAAAACCATCTAGAAAAAAATGTAATTTCAGGACATTTTGTCAATATACATTGTTGTTTATTCTTAAGTCTTATGGAACTATTACTGTAGTATGGTCAGAAAACACTTTGATCAGTCTAACTGAAATCGTCTTTGGAGTTAATCCCCTGATAAGGTGCGAATGAATCATCCAACTTACGATATCCATATGTGTTGATTTAACCCGTTAGTCATTTTTCCAAGTCAGAAATTGTCTCTAGTTTACCGTTACCAATGTTAAATTACGTTTAGGTAACGTTGGTTTATTTACCACTTTAATTCACTCGTGGCACAGTCAGTTATGTTAGAAGTTTTGGTAAATAATCTGCAGCTATCTAATTTTCTGTTTATTGCACAATATTGAATCACTCTCGTATTATATATTACTCACGCCTGTTACCCCTCGTGGAGGAGCATACGCCGCCCACCCGCATTTCTCATCGAACACTGTCCTGGGCAATCCTTTCCAGTTGCCATTCATTCTTTTGATGTCTGTTTTCGATTTTCTGCGCAGTGTGTTCTTTGAACTCAATATATTAGATAATAATGATAAGTGCTCAATAGTTATTCTTTCCATAGTTGGTATGCCCTAGAACTGAATTACTCAAGGGATACTGTTTAAATGATGTAGCGATTATTTTGGTGAACAGCAAAGACGTGATTAATATACTAGCAGTCTGTATGAAAACCAGCTTGCTGATTACTAGTCAATCTCTCACAACCCATAGTGTTTGGCGAGGCCAATAGCATTGAAGCGAAACCCAGATACATATCCCGATACTTTTTACATAGGGCTTTTCTAAAGATGAGATCACTGGCTGCGTCATCCCAATATTGTGGGATACTTTCCCAAACAGCCCAATCACTTTCCTGACTTGAAGTTCCTTTCCATCCTTGAAAAAGAGATAGACGTGGGTTGTTTAGACACTACTTGCCTCTGTTTCGTTCGACGGATCGGTAGTCAGTGATCGAGGAGCACAAGAGAGTCTAATCGACGTCATAGTAACAGTCCATTTGGAATGTCTCCTAAAATACTTGATCCAGAGTACATGATACCTTTTGGTAGATTGAGTCTTAGCCTTGAATATTTTTGAATAAGGTCTTTCGTTGCAGCGGAATATTCAAACAACTTTTTGTACCGATCCTTCGAGAACGATATGTCTGTAAGCCACTAAAAAGTAAAATCGGCTCAACTCATACAAGGTCATAATTAGGACCTGCACAGATGCTCCAGAAGAATGAGATTTTCACTTCACTGGTGATCAGTTTAAGTAACTTCTAGTCAGATGTTGGTCTGAACAAAATTGGAGAGGCAGGCTCCCTTTATTCAACTATTAATACATTCAGGCTTCCAAATACCACCAAAATGATAATTGCATGTGCATCCCTGAGGTCATCATTAAATTGACGGCAGAGCATGTTCCTTATTGGTTTTTGGGCTGCAACCCGTCGGAACTTACTAGCAGATTACTAAAACATATTTTACACTCCGATTTCTCGCTTCCTTCATTAACAGCACATCAATGATTATTAACGGGGACCTCATCGGAAAAGAAATATCAGTGGAGAGGCTGAAAACCGGTGAGTTTCGAGAGAAAGAGCGGATAATTTCCACACACCTACCAGGGTATTTAGGGTGTTATCTGCTCAGTATTATAATCATGTCAGCATTGAAGGTCCTCGGTAGTTCAGAAAATTTTTCAGAAGTGATTTAGAACTAAAAGTATTCCAACCAATCAATACCTCTGGAAATATTTAAAGAGTCTAGGGAATTATTCCTTCCTTGTTCTGAATGTATACTATACCGAATTCGTTCCCAATTTCAGCATGTTTCTCATTATTTAAAATTCGCGGTTACATAATTCTCTTTCGAGTTAAGTGTTTCAGTTGCTCGTGTTGAGGTGCACTGTATACCATTTATTTTCACGAAGTTACTATAAAATCGTGCATAGCGGACAGAGGGTACTAAATGATGTATGGGAAATGTAAGCAATTATTAAAATATATGAGATGACTTGGGTATTATAAGATTTGCTAATCTGCCAGAGAATTTATAACAAAGAACTACCTACTTGTAGTTTTTTTTTATTTTGCTGGCCATTATACAAAATATAATGAAGATTAGTCCTGGTTGCCAGTAAGTTTTTATTGTCACACTAACAGTTCTAAGTTAACAGAATTCAGTTTATGTATTTTTAATAGGAAAGTACGAAAGGAATCTAGTTAGTCGAGGAATGATAAACTGTCGCTATTAGAGCACCGATTCTTTGATGACGTATCCCACACTTAACCGGCAGAATACTGTTGGAATAATTCGTGTTTCAGAAACAAAGATTACTTAAGGGAAGAAGTTTTTTTCGATGATATCCTTTATGAGAGCTGTACAATTACATTGATATTAATTTGACATACATAGTGGTTCGTTAGAGTATAGACTGAGATTGCGTCACAGATGGTTTAGAAATATTAAAAAGTTACGTAATGATCTAAAGGATAATAAAAATGTCAAGAGTTAATTATCCACTTGAGATATACGAGTAATTGAGTGATGTAACAACAGTTAATTAATTATTAAGTATGGAAATTACGAATAAGATTGAAAGTCATGGCAATAACGATAGACTGAATATAATACCAAGTGGTTGGAGGTAGAAAGTTGGGAGCTCAACACATAGGTTTCTTGATAGTTTTTACTGATCAGTAAGGTGTATCTGGAATATTGAGGTCACTGATGATCTTTGGTGACCAGTTTCACAGTCTGGGATATTATCTACCACTCGATGTCGAGTCACTTAGACTTGTGTTCACATTCCAATTTGATAGATAGAACTCGGTCTATATCAGGAACTATACGCATATGGCACCGTCCACTACTCACTAGCTAATCACTTTGGACATGATGCTTTTACTTATATTTGAATCTGTGAATTGAAAGATTATATCGTTATGAAGAAACTAAAACACAAGTCTATGTAGTTCATAACCATTGTACAATTCATGTGTACATTTATGTTCATCCAGTAGCCTATACATACTCATCAAGAATTCAATCAGGTTACAAAATAAAATGTCTCAGTCGACCTCCAATTGTATAATCCATAAGGAATAGGTATGATATATCTACATTTGAACAAATGAAAAGCTATCTATACTTCTAAGTATATGACAGTGCTATTTTCAACTTAATACTTTCTTAAGTAACTATAATTCAATTATTAAGGTGTTTTTTTCTTCATCTGAAGGAATCTAGTCATAATTCGTCGGATTTTCATGTTACCTTATCACCAAATGCCGTTTTTACTTTGTTTAATCTGCAGAATTTAAAATCACCATATATGTAGACGTAGTTTTGAATACGAACTTGGTGATTGAAACTTTCATTAATGTTTGGTTATACACGAGAGATAGAGGATTAACAATATGTGGTGAGGATATTGTAAAAAAAAATAACTGATAATTCAATCTGACTGTAAATCAGAATTTCTACAAAACAGCATTTCAGTATTATATCTTTTCTTATTGTAACTGATATACGTCAAATCATAGTTATAGAAATTTTAATTAATTGCTCCATGATTTTAATGCGATAGTGATGTTTTGTGAAACAGGAGTAACTACTGATATAAGTGTTAGTAGTATAACACCAGTTTCCGTTCCAAGTTTATATATATTTATATCACCAAAACGTGTTTAATTTAATTCTTTTAATTTACCATCTTTTGGCTCAATTTTTGAACAGTTTCTGGCAATTCGGCCTTGAACTATATATGTATATTTTTTCAATAAATAGTATTATTCTCAATTAGATCTTCATCAGGCTTTGCCCTAATATGATCAGAATGAGTGTTTGTGAAGATTGTAGTAATTTTCTAGTAGTTGAACTCGAGCTGATGTAAGCTAAACCACCAGTGAAAACCTAGAAGCATTGGACGGTCTTTTCGTCCTAGTATGGGACTACTCAGCAGTGCACCTTCAAGATATACAATATATCGCACTTCGAGCCATTAATAATAATAATAATAATAATAATAATAATAATAATAATAATAATAATAATAATAATATTAGGTA